AGGTTGGCTGCCCCCAGCTTGCTGCAGGTAACACCCTGACCGTGTCGTGGACACTCTCTCTGAAGAGTCTGTCCCAAGGTTTGTGGATACCCTGGGCAAGGCGAGGCCCTTGACATCACTCCTAGGCCACAGGGCACCTTGACCAACAGAGGTGGGAACCAACTGATAAGTGCTCCCGTCCTGGGGCCCTCGCAGACACTTCTGAGATGCGTTTCATAGGACTCCTTGGGTCCAGCAGAAGAGGCACCAGATGCCTATGGTGTGGCCAGGTCTTCAGGCTCCTGCGCTGATCTTTGTCCTTGTCCTTGCGATCAGGTCCTATGTTTGCTCTCTGTGCATGAACCTTGCCTCTGGCTCTGCTCTCAGACTCAGGCTAAGACCTTAAGGTGGAAAAACCACGTGGTCTCATCTGTACCGGAATCGGCTAAGTATGTTCCTGGTAGCGACTTGTGTGTGCTTGTGCTAGGTAATGCAGGGTCCTCTCTTCATCTCAGGGTTCCTAATCGAATCACATGGAAAATCCCGAGTGCCATGTTTGGTGTGTAACCAGCGTCTGGGGGGCTAGGGTGTGGGCATCCTTGGGGAGGCTGTAAACAACAGAGTGTGCATACTCCATCTGGCGCTCCTTCTGCCCAGCCTTTTGAAGTGGCTACTGGGCAGCGGCATGATGATGATTATGTCCTTGTTCCTAACCTTGTAGCAGCCACACAGAGCACCAAGACATCCTGTGTCCCTCGTGAATCTCATTTCTTCACCAGTGAAGTGAGGAGGGCTTGCCTGAGGGCGTGGCTCCAGTGTAAGAGCCTGGACTGTTGGGAGTCATCAGGGCTCAAAAAAAATTTCCCCATCCCCCAGAAGAGCCATCCAATGGTGAGCCCTGCTGGCTCACATGACCCTTACCCACCAATCAGAAACTACTCCATGCCAACTGTCAAACCCTTCAACAGTTAAACTGTCATAACTGTCAAACCTCCCCCGGCTCTATAAATATGCAGAGCTGTTCCTCAATAAACGGGCATTTTCTTTGACAACGAGCCTTGTTCATTCTTTCAGGGACCTGGCCTGACTGGCACAGCACACTGCCACCTTCTTGTCTCTGGTCGCCCCTAGAGTCCTGGAGCCCCGGGTTTCTAGTCATTTGTCCCTTTGCTGAAGGACTCGCCAACTTCTCCCACCTTCTGTTCCAGATGAAGGAGGAGGGGTTCAGGCAGCTCTTCACCGCCTTCAGCGCGCTGACCCACTGCAGCCTCAAGTTCACCAAAGACGGCAAGTTCCGCAAGTTTGGCTTCATCAGCTTCAAGTCCTAGAAGGAGGCCCGGGCTGCGCTGAACAACTTCAACAAGAGCTTTATTGACATGTCCCAGATCACAGTGAGTGAGCCCCCCGCAGTCTGACTGGGCACAATTCAGGAGCCACTTGTCAAAAGAAACTAACTTTATTTTTAGAACACACACACCACACCACACCACACAGCTCCTCAGGAAAAACCCTCAGAGCCCAACTGCCACCACCGGCTTCCCACAAGCCTCTCAACCTCCCACCCTTCTCCTGCTCTTGAGGCCGATTGGCTGAGTCGTGTGGGCGGAGCCAAAAAAGTCCCCCAATGAGCAGCTCCGTAGTCTGAAAGGGCAGGGAAACAGCCCAATGAGCATCACTGCAGAAGAGCCAATCAGCTAGATGTTTCTGGGGCCCCTGTGAGCCAATCATCAGCTGGCAGCTGAAATATTGCTGGGGCCCCTTTGGCTGTGGCTCTCAACACCCCTGCCTGCCTGTCCAGAGTGTCACCCGCGGCTCCACCTTGGGTCCCAAGGGTGTCCTCTTTAGGACCTGAGGCCTTTGTCCTTCCTCAGCGGTTCCCGCTCTTCTGTGTGTAAGACTCTCCCGGAGCCAGTCAGACTGTTGCTGGGCCCGCCCTGGGCCTTGGCTCAGTGCGGGAGTCACACAGAAGATCAGGCCTTCTGGAGCCTCGGTGGCACCTGTGCTGCCAGCCAGGAGGGCACTTGAGCCACAGGTGTGCATCCTTCACTGCCCGACAGCAGGCGCTCATGAGCCACCGGTCCCTGTCCTCAGGAGCGCTGGCAGACGCAGGTGCTGAGTTCAGGCGGTCAGTGGGTCAGGGACCCTGAGAGAACTGAGCAGGACCCACCCTGGCCAGGGAAGGGTCAGGAAAGTTTCCTAGAGGAGGAGTTCCCACAGGTGTTCATTGACATGATAAAATGTCCCTAGCCTTTTGCTGAGAAGGGAAAAGCCAAGATGAAGCAGCATAGAGCTGAGGCGACACACGGCCTCACCTCTCGCTCTGTGTGGTGTGGGCGTGGTGGCCTGCGGGGTCATCAGGCGCTGGTGGTTCATCTTTGGTGACAGGAGTTGGAGTCACAGCCTTTTGACCTTCACCATAGACTTAAGGGACTGCTGTGGAAGTCCACACAGCCAGGATGTGACCAAATGGCAGGCTCTTTCTTTGGGAAGGGTAGTTGGTGACCAGGGTGTCCTTACCTGTCTGGGAGTCGTCACTCCTGGCTCCCAGCAGGACTGGCCTCACCAGGGTCACCTCTGAGAGTGCGTTGGAGGCTTTGGTCTGGAGAGGTCTGGCTCAGGCTTCATCCTCAGTACACTCCTGGCCCCACAGCCACCCTGTCTCCTGTTACCTTGGAGGTTCTCCCAGACCAGCAGAGCTTGCCTCATGATCACTGGTGATCCCAGGAGCACGGGTGTCCCCTGCACCCGCCCTTGCTGATCACTGGCCTACATCATCTCATTCTGTACTCAGAGCCACCATTTGGCATGGATGGTCCTGAGTCCCCAGTCTCTGTCCCTGAGAGCCTCGGTCACCTGGGGCAAGTTGTTTCACATCTCTGTGCTCCAGTTTTCTGGTCTTGAATTGGGGAGAGCTGTGGCTTCACTGCCCGCTGTCCGGAGGCTCAGCGTGTCCACGGTCCTCGCGGGGCACTCGGGTGCTGCGTGGAACTCCCCAGTAGACGGTAGCTAGTGTGGTGCCTTCGCGGAGGACAAAGCCAAGGCGGGGTGGTAGTCCTCTGCTTATGCTCTACTAGTGGCAGCTGCGTGTCTGTAAAGCCCAGGTTTCCAGGTGCTGAAGGGCAGGACCCTCAGGACTGTGGCTGTCACAGCAGGTGTGACAATCGCCCTTTCTCATTCAGGTGGAAATCTGCAAGTCCTTAGGGGACCCAACAAAGCCCCCAGCCTGGAGCAAACATTCCCAGAGACCAAGGCAGCCCAAGCAGCCCTCACAAGGCTCTGCCCCCCGGAAATTAAGAAGGTATGCAGGTGACCGCGCCAGCACCCGCCTATGTGAGCAGGTGGTGGCTGTGGAGGCGTCTGCAGTTCCATCTGCCCTTCCCCTCCCATGTGGCCCTCATCCTCTGCCTCTGTTTTTAGGATGACAAGAAGAAAAATGGAGCAGGTGAGTCTGTCCTGTTGACCGAGAGGGCGGGGGCAGCCAGTCGGAGAGGTGCAGGCTGGTCCAGAAAGCAGAGCCCACACCTCGAGTGTCCTGCCATGTCCCTGTGGACTCGGAGTCCACCAGAGATGGGGAGGATGCTCGCCCTGCTGGGAGTTTGGAGGGCTAAGCCCCACTGAGTCCCCTCTGCCTCTTCTCCTGTGTCCCTGCTGCCTGCCTCCGCTGCCTCCAGCTGAATTAAGACACCAGAAGTTCCTTTCAGTTCACCAGAAGTGGACACAGGTGGCCACTTGGGCAAATGGTGCCCTGGACACAGCCCCCAGAAGGGAAGAGCAAGCCGACCAGTGACTACCTGAACTTTGACTCTGATTCTGGGCAGGAGAGTGAGGAGGAGGCTGCTGAGGAGGAGCTGGTAGGTGAGGCTTGGGCATTGTGCCTGTGCACCTGTGTCCCTCAGCTGCAGCCCTGTGGCCCACCAACACCTACTGGCAGGCACTGGCTGCCTCTCCCTCAGACACCAGGCCTGGGGTTGTCCAGACATGGCTCCGGAGCTTTCTAGTGGGGGGATGAGGTCACCTGCAGGAAGGTCTGCCATGGCTGCTCCTAGTCACTTGCTTGTCAGTCAGCAGTGTTCGCCTATTGCATGCTGCATGCTGGGCTCTGGGGATGTAGTGCTGAGCCATAGACAGGAATCCTGCCCCGTGGTGCTGTCAGCTGTCATTGTGGTGAGAGGAGAGGAGTAAACAGATGAGCACCCAGGGACACGTCATGGGGTCACAGCCGCTAAGGAGAGGAAGCAGGAGAGCTTGGGAGGGAGCTGCCAGGGAAGGCCTTATGGGGTGGGTGAGCCTTTGTCCTCTCAGCCTTAGCGTGCTGGGGCAGCTGGTGGCTAGTGACCGGCTGCAGTATGGGGTGGCAGCTCTGGTTGGGGGTCGGTCAGGCTGGCTGAGGGCAGAGGATGTGAACGTAGCGTCACCTGTGCACATGGCAGGGTTTCTGTGCTAAGCTGCGACCTGGAGGACTTGTGGGACATGGTGAGACACATAGCTGGGGGCAGAGGGGGTCGCAGACCAGGGTACAGCATCACAGGGGTTCAGGACAGGAGAGCACACGGCTGCAGGGCAGAGTGGCTCTGGGCACTGGGGCAGGGAGGGTGGGGCCCGGAGGGTGGGGCCCAAGGAGCTCACACAGGCCTGGAGCAGAGCGGGTGGGGCTCCATCCTCAGCATCCAGAACTCATGGGTGGGGGTGTGAGGCTACAAGGACAGTCGTGACAGCTGCGCAGACACACTTCTCCCTTCTGGCTGTCTCTGTAGCACCCCTCAACAGCTAGCGTATCACCAGGTGTCTCCTGTAAGCTATTCACACCTCTGTGCTTCCCGCAGGGTAGCAGATAGCAGGTGAGTTAGCCAGGGGCCCAGCACTGGAGCTGGGCTGGGGTGAGGTCCTAATGTTTGGGGTGTTTGCTGCCTAAGTAGATGATTGAGCGTGGCTCCCACTGGGGTTATGTGGGTGGCCCTGTGAGATGATGGGTGGGTACCCTGAAGGGTTCACTGTAGAAATGGTTCTACTGTGTAAGTACTTTCTGTGGCACTTGAAGCCCCTTAGTGTACATGACACTATTGGGAAGGTAACTGATGACCTGGAGGGGCCGTCCAGGGGAGAGCCTGGCAGGCGGCAGGGAGCCATGGAGCTGTGTGTGTGGCACGGGAGCTTCGCCCTCTAGCGGTGCCCATCAGAGGGTTTATTGGGCCGCTGGGCACCAGGGCCCTGATTGTGGTGAGTGTGGTCCACAGGCTACCCCCCAAGTTTCCAGCCCTGTGCTGCCTGAGTCTCTGGCTGCTCAGGAACATGACCTCCTCCCCGCCCCCTGCCCTCTCAGCAGAGCAAGGCCTGGAAGCTAAGGCGGCTGCCCAGCGGGGGCTGTCGGACATGGAGTACCTGAAGTCCAAGGTGGTGGCAGCCGAGTCCTCTTCCTCAGAGGAGGAGGAAAGTGAGGACTAAGCCATAAACTGTGACAGAGGCAGCGAGGAAGAGGAGTCCCCTGCCACCCCTGACCAGCCGAAGCAAAGGAGCCCAGGGGCCCTGCCTGGAACGGGGAAGCCACAGGAGCCCGGAGCCCAGGTATGTGCCTGCAGGAGGGACAGCGGGGGTTTTGTTCCTGTCTGGGGTTGTGGCCCCACAGCTGGGGGTGTGACACGGAGGAGAGCCCAGCAACCCGTCACGTACTCCCTGATCCTCTGAGCTCATTGCCTGCTACACGAGAGGGGTGGCCTGCTGGGGCTCTGGGCTTGAGTGAGGTGGTGACGGCTGGGTTACTTGGTGTTCACTCACAAGGCAGGCAGGTGTGGGTGGGCTCCTCGTTGATAGACATGCCTGGTGTCACTGGATGCCATCACAGTCACTCAGCAGGCGTTCTCCTGCCTCCATTTTATAGGTAAGAAAACTGAGGCCCAGAGAAGGGAAGTGACAGGTCAGGCCCCAGGTGCGGGTCTGTCAGGCTGTGAAGTTGAGATTGTAAAGGTGGACGTAACTTCCACCTGGAGTCCTGTCCTCCAGACACAGGGCATTGGACGTGCGTGCCTCCCAGTTCCTTCGGTGGAAGCTCCAACAGGAGGAAGGGGCTCTATCTGCCGTCTCCTCTTCCCCTTGCTCTTTTCCACCCTCCTTTCTAATGCCCACCCTGTCCCTGTCCAGGGAGGTCAGAGGGCGAGGGGTTCAGTCTCAGCTCTGACCCTGTGTGACTGCTGGGTCCAGAGGGTGCTGCAGCCCCACAGGCCTCTCTGATCCTCATCTGGAAGGGACCTCCTCGCAGTGCCTGTGTGTCACCAGGCAAGCAGACTCAGTGGTAGCAAGGTCTCTGCCCCGGGGCTCCTTCCATCTCCCCTGGCTTTTGATGGCCTGGGGCGCTGCTCTCCTGGCCATGGTGCCCTGAGCCCTGGCTGCAGCCCTCAGATTCAACTCTGGACCCCGCAGCCGCCACCTCCACCTGTGCCTGGACCCTGAGCCCGTGGCGGGCACAGATGCGGCACTCTCGTGCTACCCCATAGCCTCCACTCCTAGAGCTGCCATGTCCCAGTCTGTCCCCTGCCACCGCTGCCCCAGGGAATCCACTGTGGTCGTTTCTTTTTGTTCAGACAGAGAAACTAGCAAACCAGAAGGATCCCACCACGGCCCACACCGTGAAGCAACGGGGAGCCCCTGTTCAGTGTCACAGAGGTAGGAGCTCTGAGGACAGGAAGATCACCTGGGGGAGCAGAGGGGGGTGGGAGGGGAGCTTCTGTTGCCTGAGGCCATTACTATCTTAGTGTCCAGAGTAAGAAGGAATATGAGGCCCAGAGGCTGAGAGATGACTTCAGGGAAGGAAAGGAGATGGCTGCCTACAACTAAAAAAAACGGCTTGGAGCCTGGGGAAGGCCGAGTGGTCAGTGTGGTCTCTATTGAGAGCCCTCACCCTGCTCCCGTAGGGCAGCTGTCTCGGACACAGGTGAGGGTGTAGGTATTGCTGCAGCCCTGCTCAACACTATTTCCAGAAATAGGCCGCAGGCCAGACGGACCACGCGCTGCAGCTACATGGCTCTAGGTCTGCGCCAGCAGAGGACCTTGCTGCATTTCCCTCCTGTGATGATCAGAGAAGCTCACTACAGGAGATTCTAAAGGACACAGCTACATGACTAGAACCTGAAAGTCACCTACAACTGGGATGACCACGTGGGTTATCGTCCACACTGAGCTGCGAGCTGGGGTGTAGCCAGGTGGGGTGCCAGGGTGCAGGTAAGGTTGCTGCAGGTCTAAGGACTAGAGCTGGAGGTGCCAACTGTCCTTGGCACAGTGGGCAACCCTGGTCAGCATTCCTGTGTCCCACCCAGTGGCAACCACTGGTACTTTGGGGACATGCCTTCTTAGATGCTTTTTCCTGTACACTGACACTGGTCTGGTTTCTCATTCCCATTTTGGTTAGCAGCGTCCTTGCAGCAGGACTGTGCTTGCTGCCCACCACTGCCTTGTTCTGTAGTCTTCCTTCCTCAGGAGACGCCTTGATACACTTTCCTGATCTCCTAAAGTGGATGTGGGAGCTACTTACAATTTATGCTGCTAGAAATACTGAAGAAATTCCTTGTAATTAGGGGTCAGTTTTTTTGGGGGGGGAGTACCAGTATTGAACCCCAAGGCATGTAACTACTGATCCACATCCTCATCCCTTTTTATGTTTTGAGACAGGGTCTCACTAAGTTGCTGAGGCTGGCTTTGAACTTGTGATCCTCCTACCTCATCCTCCAGAGCCACTGGGATTACTGGCCTGCCCACTGTGCCCAGCTAGTTAACTGTTTTTGAAGAAAAGATGAACCCCTGCTCTACTCCTCCTGATAAAATCAGGTTCTGATACATCAAGGATTTGAGCTGAAAAAATATCTTTCTAAGCAATTTGTAAAGTTTCATGGGAAAAAAGAAAAAAAAATGGGTTGATTACCTACCTACCAGCCTAGAGCTCTGGAAGCCAGCAGCTGTCATGAAGTCACAGTGGTTCATGCCTAACAGAGGCAGGAGTCTAGTGTCTCTAGTTTACAGAGATTTTTATGAAGGATTTACGACCCAACAGAAAAATAACACAAATAACAGAAGGTTTTCAAGAACAAGAATTTGGGTGGCCAGTGCACATGTTTGGATTCTGTCATGATTATCAAAAAGCAAAATCAAAACTGGAGTTCATATTTTTCACTTGCCAAAATGGTCAGCATCGTTCATGTTTGGCAATAATCATTTTCTTGCCTTTTAGAGGGCCGCGTGGAGCTCCCGGCAACATTACGGACATCCTCGCCTTTGTGGAGCTGGTGCCTGGCCAGGGCTTTGCCCCCAGGTGAATCCCGGCACATCAGAGCCTGAATGCGGGAACGTTCTTGCAGCCTTCCTGTTATTATTTATAACTCAACGTGTTGATTTGCAGTCATTGATAAGAACAAAACCCCACATCAACCCTGAAGCTCCATTTCTGGGGAAGTGGTGTGTCCGTGGTTCTTGGAGGGGAGTGGTCTACCCCTGCACAACATCTGGCCATGGTCAGAGGTGCTCTTGATGGTGACATCTGTGGAGGGCTGCTGGCCTCTAGTGAACAGAGTCCAGGTGTGCTGTGTAAGCCCTGCCAGACACAGGACAGCCCCACAACAAAGAGTCACTAGCCCAAAATGTCACCAGTGCCAGTTTAAACCTGGGTTAATTCACAGGGACACATGAAAATGGTGTAAGATGACGTATCACAGAAAAGAACATGATGACAGGGAAGACCCCCAAGGTGCCATGGCCAGTAGAAAAGGCCAGGTGTGGAGCAGGACATGGCTTCATCCCCAGAGGAACCTAGCTGTGTGTGACCCACCATGCTGGCTTTCCTCTGGGCAGGGGACGGTTTGGAAAGAATCTGGTAATTGCAAACTTGGATGCAGTAATGTGAAAGCTCAGAACTTGGCTGGGCTTCTTCCACTGACCTGGAGCACCCAGATGTGTCCTTCTGTCCTTCTGTCACCTTGTAGGACCAGCTACGTCAGGGTGGGGCCTCAAGGGCTTCCCCCAGTTCCCAGATGGGAAATGGATCTGTGGCTTTTGATTTGCAGAAGAGCCAGGAAGAGTGAACTGGCCTTGGAATTAGGAACCAGTTTGGTTTCCTGATTTTTACTTTTTAGTATTTGTTAGAGTTTCACACCCTGAATGTTCACATATTTTTAAAAATGTGTTTAAATCTCACACATGTCCAGAGAAGGGTGTAGTTAAGAAGGTCAGGGGCCTCCCTACAGTTTGAGGTTTGTCACTGTGATTAACGTAGACAAATATCCGTGCTTTAAAGAGAAGAAAAGCCAGCTTTAACCCCAAGTATTTAAAAAAACAAAAAACAAAAAAACAACTCCTTAGGAACAAAAGACCAGATGTAATGCCTTAACACTCTGCTGCTGATGTTACTATTTTTTATTACATTATTCGTTTCTTTTTCAATTTTTATTTCCCAGTTTTTCTTTATGGTGGAGGAGAGATGAGTGTGACTTAAAGGAAGGAGAAAAACTGTGATCACTTTGTTGTCTTTTCTGATCCAACACTTTTGTCCTTATCTCTTTATCGGGTTGCATGGTTTCTTGGGGGACTAATAAGGGGCAAAATTTGTCCTTGCAGAAAAATGTCCTGGAATTCCTGGTGCCCCTGAAACCAGTGGCCATTCGAAAAGTGAGAAATGCGCACGGGAACAAGACAGGTAAGGCCTGGGAGCTGGGCGGATGTGCAGGGGAGGGCTAGCCACATAGTTGTGGAGGTCCCAAAGCAGCCTTGTCCCTTCTCCTCCTTGGGGTCCTCAGTTCTGTGGATGTGGCTAACTGTTCAGGATGCGGATCTGTGTCATCCTTGCCTCTGGCAGCCTGGCATATAGTGTCAGAATTTTCTCCTCCACTGTTCTAGTAGGTTCCCCTGTTCTGTTCATGTAGATGCCCGCAGGTCTGGGTTTGCTGGGCTAAGTCCATGGGCGGCTCTGCCAGGGGGCAGTGCTCTACCTCTCTGCACATGCGTGGTGTTGCCTGAGACCACATCTCCCCAGGTGTCCGCTCCGGGCTGTGAGCCTCCCCACCTGACTGTCTCGAGGCAGTGAGCATGGCTGGAAGGAAGGTGGATCTGGGAGAGGTGGGCACCTGCCCAGCCTAGTGGCCAGCTAGGCCAGAAAGCCATAGGAGACCAGTGGCAGAATAGCCACATCTCAGAGAACCATACTAAGGCTCTGTGGCCACTGGGTGTCTGGACCCTGGGGTTGGGAGTGCCTTGGCAGGAAGAGGCCACCTGGGCAGAGTGGTCAGGTCTGGCCGAGCTGGCACCCAAAGAGAAAGGTGCACCTGTGGGGTGGTCCAGTGCCCTTGGTATGTTGGGTCTCATCCCTCCCCAGCTCTCCCGCCCAGCTCACCAGGCTGATGGTTCAGGCAGCCTTTACTCCTGGAGCCCAGCAGAGGGCAGTGTGAGGGGCGGGGGACAGAGCCCCTGCCCAGGTTCACAGCCTAGCCAGCCACTTAGGAGCCCTGTGACCTGGGACAGGAACTCAGCCTCCTTTCCTCCTCTGCATAAGGGGTCAGACCTGTCGTGCAGTTGGGAGGAGTCAGGGTCAGCCCCGGACTGTGTGAGCACTGGGAATGCTCAGAGTGCAGCTGTTGGTGTTGGTGCTGGTGGTGGGGCCACCGGTTCATGGCGCCTCAGAGACCAGGCAGGGAGCCAGGAGGAAGGTACCTGCCTTGCTGGGGCTCAGGGACAGCATCTTGGAGGCCCTGGAGATGGAGAGAGCCAGCACATGAGCATGACGCTGTTGAAGGCAGCAAATGACCCAGGTGGAAGTGTGGGGGTGGAAGCTGGGCTGGGCCCTGGGACTGTAGTAAGTAGGGAAACCTGGGCCCACTGGAGGGTTGGGGCTTAGGACAGCCTCGGGTTTAGAAAGGCCCGCTGGCCAGTGCAGGGAGGGCCGCTGGCAGCCGGAGGTAGTAGAGGCTTTTGCTTGTGTGGGCTGGGGAGGATGCTGGGGGAGACTGTGGTGGTGTAGACGGGATGCTTCTCGGCGGCTTCACAGGTCAAGGCCCAGTGAGGTTGAGGCTGTGGAGGCCTCTGCACCTGCTTGTTGCTGTGTAGTCACCCACAGCTACCTGAAGGGTGATGTGGAGGTGACCCTCCAGTGCTGGGCTGGGTTACAGCGGCCATCGTGAGCATTTCTTCTCTGCAGAACATGGTCAGGGAAGGGGTGAGGCTGGGAGGGAGGCACAAGGGGCCTGGTTTTTGCGCCTTCACCCGCAATGCCAGGTAGGTGCTGAGTGCTCCCCCAAAGGGTGGCTAGGTTGGGTGTCAGCCTGTGCTGTGGCGGCTCCCGCTTTCTGCACCTAGCCAGGTGCCCACGTCCTCTGACTCCAAGCGTTGGCAGGGCTGGCAGTTACCTTGTCGTGGTCCCCTCTCAGGGTATGTCTTCGTGGATTTCAGCAGCGAAGAGGAGGTGAAGAGAGCCCTGAAGTGCAACCAGGAGTACATGGGTAAGGAGGCGCAGCGCTGCATCCCAGGCTCCCTGGCTCCCGCGTGGGCCCTGGCTTAGGTGCATGTGCTGAGCGTCCCCTCCTGCTACACGCTCTGAGCACTGAGGGTCCAGCAGCAAACAGGCTGCAGAGAGGCAGGCAGTGCTGAAGGAGGTCATGGGCACATGGCCCTGGGACACCGTCGGGCAGGCAGGGTATGAGGCAAGGGCAGGGAGGAGGAGGAAGGTCTTCCCGAGGGTGGCCGCCAGGCCTCAGGGGCACGTGAAGCTTGGGGTGAGCAGCAGGCCTGCCTAGGGCACAGGGTTGGTGGAGGTGCGGCAGGTGCACTGTTCCTGAGCTGGGACGTGGTCCTCAACCCATCTGTGGCATGGATGCCTCCCGGGGCAAGTGTGTGGGGAAGACAGGGGTCCCCAGGAGTCCTGCCAGTGAGTCAGGTGGAAGGTATTGACTGTGCTGTGGTGTAGGTGGAGGCAGGC